CTTTTGTTGTTACTTCTTGTTTCATACAGCAATTGTAGCGACTTGATCACTGGGCTTTGAAGTACTAAAGACTTGGTGTACTAAAAAAACTTCGTAAGCTATAACTGTGATTAACGCTTATTAATCGGTAGCTTTAGATATATTGACCAAGAACGTTTATAAATTTCGAACATTGCAAATTATTTATCTTCAGTGGATTCTCATGGGACATTAGTATTTTTACAAAAACATTACATACATTTATCGTGGAGAGCTCAGCGTGTGTGGCCGGCAAATAACGACAGAAAATATTAGCTAGCTTCCCGTGAAGCGAATCGTACCTCTATGAACTGTAATCAACTCGCTCATCGTGAACCCTCGATAAGATATCAAGAAAGTTTCAAACTAGAAAGAAGACTTTATATGGTTTGTAAGTTCGTGAAACTTTTGTTTATAAATCATTGTTTATAATAGATATTTGTAATGATTGTTATTGTAAATTGTACTGTTGTGTATATATTAAAACGTATTTGTGTTAAAAAAGAAAGCTGTGTATCAATCTTGTTGGCAAATATTATAAACTGACTACATGTCGGCATATATTTGAATACTAAATCCAAAAAACAATTTAACTACTAAATTTAAATTTATCAATTAACTCAATTTCAGACTATTTGAAATTCTAATACGTAACAAGTAACATTTATAAGGCAAATATGAATATAAAATCGCCTATTCATTTCAAATTAAATTGCAACCAATGAAACTTTAATTACCAATTTACATCTGGCGTATCATAAATATAAAATCGAGTCTGCTCACAAAACCATTAACGTGACTTATTTACACGTCATCTTTCCACTAACAAAGTTTTTTACACTTCAATAAGTACAATATTTAAATACATTTTGTACATACCTGAAAGTATTAATAGAGACTACAGATTCATATATAAAAAATTCAGTAATTACGACTGTTGTCTGGAACAGATTTATTATTATATATTTATTTTAATACCAACGTTTGTTTAGATTAATTTTATATTTAGAAATATGCATAGCTTATACTGTTAAATATGTATTGCAAAAATCCCGCCTATTCTCTTAAGTTGTAGAAGATTCCCGAGTGTAAGAATCAACAATATATGTATGTACGTAAACGCTTAATCTAGCTTTGTATTGTTACATA